ACCTTGGAAGCTTGAAGATGGGTGGACTTCAACTCCCAGAAAGTTGCCAAGGTTGGAGACCCTGGCTGGGGAACTCTGGGAGTTGAAGTCCTCCAGGCTTAAAGCTACCAAGGTTGGAGACTGACTAGGGAATTCTGGGAGTTGAAGTCCTCCAGGCTTTAAACTGCCAAGGTTGGAGACCCTGCTGGGGAACTCTGGGAGTTGAAGTCCACCCATCTTCAAGCTTCCAAGGTTGAGAAACACTGTTCTGGACCTTTTCAAGGCCCTCCATCTTTCACGATTGACCCTTTGAGTAGTTGGGCACTTCTGGACCCTTTCAAAGAGACGGTCCTCCACCTTTCATGATTGACAGCTCCTCCTGTCCCTCGCTCCTGGCCATGTTGACTAAGACAGGAAGGAAATGGGAGGATCAACCTAGAAGAATGCTTGTCTTGCCAGCTCTCCATTAGTCATCCAATAGTATTTGTGGGTTAATCCAAGGCCCACAGCAACATGCCATCCACCCATCCATTTTTCACTGGGCTTTTTTTTTTACATATCTCTCTCCCTCTCCCTCTCTCTCTCTCTCTCTCTCACTTCCATCTTGGCTTGGTGCAAGTTTCCTCGTAGAAAGGCTGTTTCCAATTCATCCAGCCTCTACAGTCATCCAGGAAGTCTCTGCAAGCCATTGTCCTTCCGTTATTTTTAAACCACTAAATCGGGGGGTGGAGGAAACCAATAGAGGATCTTAGCTATAGCTTAAGGTGGAACTGTGGGTGCTCTCTGAGCTTGGTGATTTTCTGGCAGACGTCTCATGACCCAACTAGGTAACAGCATCAGTGCTAGAAGGGAGTGGAGATTGGGAAGAGGAGGAGGAAGAGGAAGAGGAGGATTATTATTGTGGGGTCCTCGGTGCTCTCTGAGCTTGGTGCTTTTCTGGCAGACGTTTCATAACCACACTAGGTGACATCATCAGTGCTAGAAGGGAGCAGGGTTTGCGGAGTGGAGGAGGAGGACGACTGGGGGGTCCTCGGTGCTTTCTGAGCTTGGTGGCTTTCTTCCGGACATTTCATAACCCAACCAGGTCATAACTGTCAGCCATTCCAGCGGGGACGGCAACCAATGGAAAATTGCACCAGCCACCTCACATACTGCCCAGAAAGCCTCGCCCTGCCTCCTGTTCTCATCGCCGGCTTGCTCTATTCATCCTGCCGCTTCTGGCACCGCCGACGTGGCCGCCATCTTCTCAGTCACCGCCGGGACCGCCGCCACCTCTCAGGAAACAGCAGGGGTTCAGGCCTGAAGTGGCCGGCTCCACGCCTGCGCGGAGGCCCCATGCCTGCTCAATATCAAGGATTGATCAGGGTTTGCCCAGGTATAATCAAGGCTCGATAGCCAGATCTCCACCCAGGAGTAATCAGGATTTGCTAGCCCAGATGGGGTCCAGCTGGGGATGTGAGGCGTTGCATGGCTGGGAGGGTGGAGCTAAAGGGGTAGAGCCATGGGGTGGAGCGTGGCAGCTTTAAAAAGGTGGTGGGAGCACAGAGCAACTACCGTGTTTCCCCCAAAATAAGACATCCCCTGATAATAAGCCCAATCGGGCTTTTGAGCGCGTGGCAATAAGGCTAAGCATTTATTTCAGGGTTCAGAAAAATATAAGACAGGGTCTTATTTTCGGGGAAACACGGTAGAGCTGACAATATTTCACTGAGACTGCACTGGGTGATTGTTGGAACGTGCCGGAGCGCGAAGGTAATGACATTGCAGCAACCTTCACACCGTTGTCTGGAGTTTTCCTTTACCGCGCCGTTCCGGAACCTGACAGTAACATTATCAAGGGCTGATGATATTACCTAGTACGTATATCACTAGATATTATCTAGTGACCTAAATGTAACTGATGATGTAACCTAGTTGGGTCATGAAACGTCTGTAAGCAAACCTCGAAGCTCAGGGAGCACCAAGGACCCCAGCCCTCCTCCTCCTCCTCCTCCTCCTCCTCCCTGGAAACCTCACTCCTTTCTAACATTGATGATGTAACCTAGTTGGGTCATGAAACGTCTGCAAGAAAACCGCCAAGCTCAGGGAGCACCAAGGACCCCACAGTCTTGAGGAGGGTGGGCCAATTCCTCCCACCCTCTTGAACTTATGATGAAGCCCACCTGCTCAAATGGTCTAATGATGCTTTCTGAGAAATGTCTGGGATGAACCTTTGGAGAGCAGGAGAGTTTTCCATAACTACGAGCCACCAAAAGGAGACAACTTGAGGATCCAATCATAAAGGGTAATTGAGAGATACAAAAATTCAGAGGCAAACAAAGTCTTCCCCCCCCCCCAAAAAAAATCAGGAAAACAAAATCTCCAAATAATTAAAGTATCTGACGGATGCCCTAATTAAATCGAGCCAAGCTTCAAAAGAAATCCAGTTGTTTATTAGGAGCTTCATGTTGGCAACGTTCCCAAGTGAAGCCAGCTCTGACCCTACGTAATTTACGCTCCAATTATGACCCTGTTTCCCCCCTCCCCCCAAGGTGTGTCATCAATCACATTCTGCAATGGAGCACTCCCCTCAGGCCGCTGTGGGTAACCCTGGGAGACAGCCTTGAGAGAGATAAGTCTGGAATGTGCATCTGTCTTTGGCTGTCGTGCCGTTTCATCGGTTTCCCATCCCCCTTGATTATGTCAACTCGAGAGCAGACCAGGGATGCTTTGCGAGTTGACATAAAGTTTTTTTATTTTCTACCCAAAAACGGCAGTCCAACCGCCATCTCTGCTTGCAAGCCTCCCACCCACACAGACCACAAACGAGCATGAAAAGATCCTTTAAAAGCCACCTCAGCTCCTTTTCCAGGTAAAAGCAGAAACTATAAAGCCAGTGAGACATTTCATCACCACCTGAAGAGCTTCCAAGTCTCCTCCGCACGGTGAAACTTTTTACAATATTTTCACCCGCAGCTCCGGTTTCTCCTAGCGTGCATTTTGCAAACCCAGGTTGTCCTCGACTTACAACCGTTTGTTGAGTGACCACTCGAAGCTACAACGGCACTCGAAAAAGCGACCGATGACCGTTTTTCGCGCTTAGGACCGTTGCGGCACACACACACACACACTGGCGGTCACGGGATCAAAATTCACACCCTCGGCAACTGGTTCGTATTTATGACGGTTGCAGTGTCCTGGGATCACATGATCCCCTTTTGCGACGTTCTGACAATGGGGAAGCCAGACTCACTTAACAACCGCAGTCATACAAAGAGGTGGTATTCAGCTGGTTCAGACCGGTTTCGCCCGAACCGGTAGCAGAAATTGTGGGTGGGCCTGCCGACTCGCCCCGGCTCTATGCTGTCCTATTTAGGCATGTTTTTGAGCTCAGGCACATGTGCGGAAGGGGCGCATGAGAGTAAAGAGAAGGCGCGGAATGCCAGGCGCACGCACGGAAGGCAGGCATTATGCTACTACGTGCAAACCAGTAGTAGCATAATGTAAAACCCACCTCTGGCCATATACTGAACAACTGTGGCCAGAAAGGACATAAAACAGATCAAAACTCGCTTAACAAATATTCTCACTTAGCAAGGTGGATTTTGGCCTCAATTGTGGTCATAAGTCAAGGACTACCTGTATTACAGGCATCTATCTCTTCCCCCACCCCACCTCCGCTAATACCTGGTTTTTCTTCTCTGTTCTCCAAGCAAGGCTACAATCTCTCGCTTAAGTCTCGTTGCTGTCTTACGTCCAAATGGCTAAAAGTGAACTAGCAAAGTTTGGCACCCTAACAAACATCTCAGACTAAATAAACCAGCTCTGGAGCTCCGAAAATAACAAGGCAGTTCCAGGAATAAACAGGAAGAATCACAAATCTGGATTCCCCGGCTGTTTTTTCTGCTAAACAGGGATTTCCCCTTAATATTGATTTTTTTAACACTCAACAAATTCATCCTCCGCCATGTTAAACAAATGCACCGGAGGTATTATTCAGTCATGTCCAGAAGGGAATTTTTCCGTCTTTTTTTTAAAACTGCAGAACTCCTGATCAAGAGTAAACGAGGTTGTCCTGAAGGCTGTAGTGTGTGTGTGTGTGTGTGTGTGTGTGTGTGTTGGGGGGGTGGCACTGCGGGAGCCAAAACTTTGACCAAAATTGGAATAATGGAGGTTTGTGGAGTTCTACAGAGCACACATGGAAAAATCTTGATTTAGAGGTTTGGTCTCTGGAGAAAACAGGGCAAATCAGTGGCAAAACATTTGTTGTGGGTTCTTAAAGGAGGACTGAGAAAGGTTTGGGGCACCGCTGATGAAAAGATCTCACAGACCAAGGAAGGGAAGGGAAGAGAAGGGATGGGATGGGATGGAATAGAGTAGAGTAGAGTAGAGTAGAGTAGAGTAGAGTAGAGTAGAGTAGAGTAGAGTAGAACAGAACAGAACAGAACAGAATTAGAGTAGAGTAGAGTAGAGTAGAGTAGAGTAGAGTAGAGTAGAATAGAATTAGAGTAGAGTAGAGTAGAGTAGAGTAGAGTAGAATAGAATAGAATAGAATAGAATAGAATTAGAGTAGAGTAGAGTAGAGTAGAGTAGAGTAGAATAGAATAGAATAGAATAGAATAGAATAGAATAGAATAGAATAGAATAGGAATAGAGCTTGGAGGTATTCTACTCCAGCCCCATGCTCAAGCACGAGACGGAGACCCCATACTATTTCAGCTCAGTAACTGTCCCGTCTTTTCTTAAATTCCTCCAGTGATGAAGCACCCACAACGTCTGGTGGCAAGCTGTTCCACTGACTAACTGTCCTCCCTGCTAGGAAGTTTCTCCTTAATTCCAGACTGCTTCTCCCTTCGATTAGTTTCCAACCATTCTTTCTTGTCCTGCCCTCCGGTGCTTTGGAGAATAATCTGACTCCCTGGTCTTTGTGGCAGTCTCTCTAGAAGCCTAGAACCAAGGCCTAGTACAGCCCTACAAGATGTGGCTGCTTGATCTCACCGAGTCCTTAAGACGCTTTCCATCTTCCCGCTGGGTTTCCTTACCTGGTTCTTCCCTCGCCTGCGGTAATTCCTTCTCACCAAGTTCTTGTAGTTCTCGTTCTTCTTCGTCAAATAGTAGTAGAGGACACAATCCGCCACTGTCTAGAAAAAGAAAAACAACAGACACATGTTGGTGATACTTGGTAACAGAGATGTCGGAGGGAAACAGACTTTGGATAATATAATATGGACACTGGTGGGATTCAAATAATTTAACAAATGGTTTTCTGCCCTAATGACCGGCTGAGTGGGCATGGCCATGGTGGGCGTGGCCAGGGTGTGTGACAGGCAGCTCTTGGCCTCCTACACCCCCTGGGAGCAAAAACTGGCCACGCAGGGAGATGCGCCCCCCCCCCCCCGTTTTGAGCCTAGGCGGCCTCCCTGCAACCTCCTGAGAGCGAAAACAGGCCACAGGGGGAGCACTGCCTTCCCCTCGTCCCATTTTGGGCCTAGGAGGCCTCCCTGAAGCCTCCTGGAAGTGAAAACAGGCCGCTGGGGGTGCCGCACCCCCCATGTGCCCCGTTTTGGGCTTAGTAGGCTCCCTGCAGCCTCCTGAGAACGAAAAAGGGCCATAGGGGGGGCACTGCCCTCCCCTCGCCCCATTTTGGGCCTAGGAGGCCTCCCTGAAGCCTCCTGGAAGTGAAAACAGGCCGCGGTGGGTGCCGCACCCCCCATGTGCCCATTTTGGGCTTAGTAGGTCTTGCCGCAGCCTCCTGAGAGCGAAAACAGGCCACAGGGGAGCACTGCCCCGCGCCCCATTTTTGGCCTAGAGGCCTCCCTGAAGCCTCCTGGAAGTGAAAAACACCGCAGGGGCCCGCACCCCCTCCCGCGCACCGTTTTGAGCCTAGTAGGCCTCCCTGCACTTGCCTGGGAGCCAAAATGGGGCCTGTGGGAACTCCTGGAAGGGGCGGGGCCAGCCAGCAATTTAACTACCAGTTTGCCCGAACCGGCTGAATCCCATCACTGAATATGGACCTTCTGATGCCACTTTGGTGTGTTTGTTCCTTTTCAAAGCACCACAACCCACAAGAGGATTGGCAACCAAGATGGCCGACTCTTAGAAGAGGGGTGGACGGCTTTCCTCAGTGGTTCCTTGGAAATAGCTGTCCCGGGCAAGGTTTATGGTTTTGGCAGGGGACCTTGGGAAGAAATGCCTCCTTGAAGTTTGCAGTTGGGTTACTGTTTTGATAAGTGCAACTTGGGGAGGCCACCGAGAAGGCCCCAACAGCTTCTTGACAGAAGGTCCAGTTTGTAGGATGAGCGTGCCTTGATAAAAGGGAGTTGTGAGAAAAAATTTAAAAAATGACTACTTACTTTCCTGTCCAGGAAAGAGGCGATAAGACCGAAATTCTTTGGGTGTTGCATGAACCTGCAAGAAGAAGAACCAAAGGAACGATTAAGAAACTGACCATGAAGATAACTTGGTTGCAGCAACCAACCATTGCTTCGTTCGACATAACCATCAGAAGCAAGAGCTTGGGAGTGGTGTGGTGGCCTAGAGATGGAGCTCTTGCCTCACAATCAGGAGGCTGTGAGTTCGATCCTAGGTAGAGGTAGATATTTCTCTCTCTGGGCACAATGAGAATATATCTGCTGGACAAAACTCCGCACTGGCAACAGGAAGAGCATCCGGCCATTCAAACACTCTGCTAGCTCCATTCAGTTGTCCAGATTCCACCTCGCAAGGGATTTTGGGGTCGTTAAATGATGGTGATTGATCAGAAGCAAGAGCTGGGCTGGAATGATACCCAGCAGAGGGGGTCCTACAGATACAGGTTGTCCTCGACTTATGACCATAATGGAAGCCAGAATTTCCACTGTAATGATGCTTGCAGTTTAGAGTCACCCATATGACTGGACCTGATTTTTACAAGTTATTTTCTATGGTGGTCATTAAGTGAATGCTGTGGTCACTAAGTGAAAATAGTGGTCATTAAGTAAAACCATGAATTTCTATGGGTGTTTTTCTGCCCAAAACCAGTGGAAAAGCTAAAAAACCAGCAAAAAAACTGTTCTAAATTGCAGTTATGGGACCGTGGATTGCTGCAAGTGGTGATAATGGTTGGGGGTCATGTGACCATGTGGGGAGCTGTTCGAACTCCAGAACTGGGTTGCAAGTAGCTTTTGGGAGGTCCATTGTAACTTTCAATGGTTGCTAAGTGAGGACTACCGGTATTCTACAGATACAATTGTGGTATGTTATGACCACAATTGAGCCTAAAATTCCTGCCATTAAGTGAGACATTCCTTAAATGAGTTTTGCCCCGTTTTACGACTTTTCTTGCCACGGTTATTAAGGGAATCACTGCGGTGGATAAGTTAGTAACCCGGTTGTTAAGTGAATCTGGCTTCCCCCTTGATTTTGCTTGTGGGGAGGCCGCAAAAGGGGATCACATGACTCCCGTGACACAGAAACCGTCATAAGTATGAACCAGTTGCCAGGCATCTGAATTTCGATCGCGCGATCATGGGGACGCTACAAAGGTCGTAACTGTGAAAAACAGCCCTAAGTCACTTTCTTCAACGCCATTGTAACTTGGAACGGTCACTAAATGATCTGTTGTAAATTGAGGAGTACCTGTATAATCATCCCAATCAGAGATGAAAAGCTCCACTCAGAGCTAGGGTGTAGGGTCTCCTGCTTGGGCAGGGGGTTGGACTAGATAATCTACAAGATCCCTTCCAAGTCTGTTAATCTGATGACTTCCAAACTAGGAAGGGACGTGTTGTGGCCCGTATGCGGCCTGTGCAGCTAGTAGCTGATTCGGACAGCGAGGAGGCTGGTGTGGTGTTGCGCCAGCAGCCTGTGCAGCTGGCGCTCGAGTCAGACAATGAGGAGGCTGGAGAAGATGTGGTGCCAGAGGCGGGGATTCAGCCAGGGCCTTCAGAACCTCCAGAAGCTCCCATAAGTGAAGAGGAAGAAGAGGAGGAGCCTCCTCTCGATGCACGGGCGCGCAGAGCTGCCAAAAGGCAGGAGTGGCTCCTCAGGAGGAGGTCTCCTCGAGAGAAAGGCTTGGTGCTAATTGGCCCCTCCCTTAGCCTATTTAAGGAAGAACGCCGACTGAAGCAATTTGCAGGGAACAACTTCGTTCACTCTCCTTCGTGCCTTGATCTTAGTTCTTTGCAAATTGCTTCTGGGCTTTCTGCCAACCATAGTAAGATTAAGATTATTTATTCTTTGGATTTTTGTAGGCGGTTAAGGAAGTTAATTAACAGCCTTTGTTTGGAAAAAAAAACCTTATCTAATTTAGTAAACTAATGTTTGTACAGACTTTGTGTGTTCTGTGTTCTTTGGGGTCTGTAACTGGGGCAGAACAGGATGTGAGGTTGCCCACAGATGTCTCCCCAACTCCTCCTCGGAGTGAAGACCTTCCCCCCTCCCCCTTAGCCTGCCTCCTCAAGGACCACTGAGGCATTGCACTCCACTCACTTCTCTCGGAAGGTCTCCTTCTCCTGCTCACTCCACATATTCATCACTTGCCGGTCTTTGTAGACCTTCATGGGGTCGTCCATCAACCCGTTCATGTTGATGAACTTGATGCGTTGCTGCTCTGCATCGTACAGCATCGGCGGGATGACGGCAAGCTGGCGCATCTGTTTCTCCAGATTCTGGCAGGGAAGAGAGGAAAGGGCCTTGAGAGGAAGCAGACCACTGAGTTCCACCTGAGTTTTCCCTAGGTCGGGAGAATCCATCTGGCTTCAGGCCTCCCTCTTACAAAGGCCAACTGGCAAAGGAATGGGGAGGTTTTCCCAAAAATTAAATCAGAGGGTTGATGCCCATTAAATGCTCCTGGTTGGTGGCTGGTGGTGAGTCATGGTGGCGCAGTGGTTAGAGTGAGGTAGTGCAGGCTACTTCTGCTGACTGCCAGCTGCCTGCAATTTTGAAATTCGAATCTCACCAGGCTCAAGGTTGACTCAGCCTTCCATCCTTCCTTCCTTTCATAACTCTGCCCACTGCCAGGAGTTCAATCCTGACTGGCTCAAGGTTGACTCAGCCTTCCCTCCTTCCAAGGTGGGTAAAATGAGGGCCCAGATTGTTGGGGGCAAGAGGCTGCCTCTGTAAAACTGCTTAGAGAGGGACGTTAAGCACTGTGAAGCGGTATATAAATCTAAGTGCTATTGCCCTTCCTTCCTTTCTTCCTTCCTTCCTTCCTTCCTTCGTGTGCTCTGCTTAGACTGCAATATTGCAGGCTAACTCTGCCGACTGCCAGCAGTTCGATTCTAACCAGCTCAAAGTTAATTCAGCCTTTCATTCAACCTGCAATTTTGCAATTCGAATCTCACCAGACTCAAGGTTGACTCAGCCTTCCATCCTTCCTTCCTTTCACAACTCTGCCCACTGCCAGGAGTTCAATCCTGACTGGCTCACGGTTGACTCAGCCTTCCCTCATTCCGAGGTGGGTAAAATGAGGACCTAGATTGTTGGGGGCCAGAGGCTGACTCTGTAAAACCGCTTAGAGAGGGCTCTAAAAGCAGTATGAAGCGGTATATAAGTCTAAGTGCTGGTGCTAATAATAATCTCTCCAAAGCAGGAGAGAAGAGCACCCAAAGGACAGTGCAGGAGAAGCTCTTGGTCCAACCCATCCAAGAGATCAGCTTCCCTCAGCATCAGGCAGGATCAGCGGGGCTGAAATTAATGCAATTGTGACAACAGCCTGAACCACCAGTTCCTGTCTCTAGATCTGTGGCGGAATCAACTCTTCCCCAGTGGAAGAGAGGGAGGAGAGACGAGAAGGACTTCAACCACAGGAGAACGGCCAACCCAGCCTCACCTCTTGTTCCGAGAGCCCGTCAATAATCTCCGACACTTCGTGCTCGCTGCGCGCTGCCGACATGGAGAATCCGCTGCCTCTTTGCCCTCCCCTGCTGAGAAACGGCAGAGAAAAATGCTGAAAGAGGGACCGTTTCTTCCTCGCCGGCCATGGCCTCCAAACGACAACCGCCGGGGCCAAGAAAGAGGAAGAGAGATCAGTGCTGGGAAAGGCAAGAGGGTGGAGGGGGAAAGTAGACCAGAAGGAGGAGGAGGAGGGGTGGGAGCAGGACCCAATGAGTCAAAGGCGGACCTTCTAGGGATTCAGTTTGATCGGCACTGCCAAGGAAAGGTTTAGCTGAGCATGACTGTGCCCCGAGTGTTTTGATCTTCGTTGGCACCACACGTGTTTCGGTGGGCCGCTGGTTCCCTTGAGAAGCTACACGCTCCAAAAAAAAGTTACTGGGAGGGTATCCCAAAGGTGCTTTTTTTATCAAGAGGCAACTGGACTTTCTGGTTTTTCTCTGAAGACGTTTCGCTTCTCCTCCAAGAAGCTTCTTCAGCTCTGACTGGATGGTGGGGAAGGGAAGGATTTCAATGGAAGGCTCTTTCCATCCCCCACCATCCAAGTCAGAGCTGGAGAAGCTTCTTGGAGGAGAAGCGAAACGTCTTCAAAAGAAAAAAAAAGCAAGAAAGTCCAGTTGCCTCCTGAAAAAATAAGGACCTTTGGGACAACCATGACCTGGAGGACTGAGAATCTCTATAGACTAGTGATGGCAAACTTATGGCAAGCGAGCCACAGATGGCACGCGGAGACATATCGGTGGGCACGCGAGCATTGCCCTAGCTCAGCTCTGGCGATTTTTGGGCTTTCCAGGCTCACTGGAAGTCGGGAAACAGGCTGTTTCGGGCCTCCTGAGGGCCTCCGGGGGGTGGGGGTGAGGAAGGCCCGTTTTTTGCTCTCCCCAGGCTCCAGAGGCTTTCTAGGAGCCTGGGGAGGGTGAAAATAGCCTTACCCACCCTGCCGGAGGGCCCTCCAGAAGCTGGAAACAGTCTGTTTGCCGACTTCTGGAAGTTGGGAAACGAGCCGTTTCCAGCCTCTGGAGGGTCTCCGGGGAGGGGAGGCCGTTTTTGCCCTCCCCAGGCTCCTAGAAAGGCTCTGGAGCCTCGGAGGGCAAAAAACGGGCCAACCGGGCCCACCATGCCATCGCGTTCCAAAAGCAGGGGAACCGGGGGGGGTGTCACACACGCATGTGCAGGGCACATTGAATTATGGGTGTGGGCACGCACATGCGTGACCCCCCTCCCCCGTGCGACCCCTGCTTTTGGCACACGATGGCAAAAAGGTTAGCCATCACTGCCATAGTCAGTTACTGGGAGGGGGCTCCTGTGTGAAGAAATGAGTGAATGACGACGAGACCCTCGCCTGACGGAACTCCAACTCAACTCCAATGCAAGCCAACCCATTAACCTGCGTTTCAGAGAGCCACTTTCCTGGGCATGTATTTATCAATTCTAAATGCATTAAAAACTGCAATTTGACAGCAACATCTGGGAGGGGAGCTTTCTGATTTATGTCACGGTCCTTTGCAAAGTCAACTGAGATGCTGTTGTGGCTCCGTTACCTGAGCCTGTGTTATCGGAGGGAGAAGGCTCTGAACATGAAGGAGAGGAGTTGTCCAGGCCTCCCTCTCCAGGACCCTCCTCTCTGGCAATACCTCAGGTGTCTCCCGAAGGAGAAGAGATTGGCCAGGAGCCAGGTATCTCCTCGCAGTCGGACAGTGACGGAGATAAGTCTTGGCTGGATCCACGCCAGCGTCGGAGAGACAGGCGCGCTCAGGAGGCGTGCCAGAGATTAAGCTGAGTCACTGGACCACACCCCACAGGGGATAAAAGGGGGTGAGGTGGCCATTCAGACTGTGTGACGGACAAAACAAACTACTAGCGAGTCACATTGTATCTTTGAAACAACGTTATCTGCCTTGGATTTAATACGGACTGGACTTGACAATTCTTAAACTGTGTGTATCTTGTTTGGGTTTATCTTGTCGGAGGAACAACCCCTCCCTTTCTGAGTAAAGTTCTTGGCAAGCAGCTACTGGGTTGTTGCCAATTCTCTTATCGGAAGAATTTGTTGTCTGCCAGTTTTATTTAACCCCTGGCTATCTGTTTGTGTGCGTGCGTGAGACGGGGACAGAACAGATGGTTTGAGATGGTCCTACCCTGTTTCCCTGAAAATAAGACCTCCCCCGATAATAAGCCCAATCGGGCTTTTGAGCGCATGCGTTAAAATAAGCCTCCCCCCCTGAAAATAAGCCCTCCCCGAAAATATTTAAACGCGGAGCTGGAAATCAGGTAAGATGGTAAGAGGAGCCCCATCTTGCTCCATGCACCCCAAAATAATAAGATCTCCCCAAAAATTAGGCCAAGCTCTTATTTTGGGGTTCAAAAAAATATAAGACAGGGTCTTATTTTCTGGGAAACACGGTATCTTCTCGCTTCAAAGCTCCTAGTGGGCAGAAGAGAGGGTCGTGAATGAGATTGGGGTGGAGGGCTGGATTTTGGTCCCAGGGAAGGACCAAAGGTTTCCTGTAGGGAAGGCGGAAATGACCTCTGGGAATCTAAATGTCCTGGCCACCACTTGTCCTACCTCGGAGACCATAAATGGAGCACCGGCTGACCTTTGCATCCGTTCCTGAAGTTCTCTCTGCTTTCTGATCTCGGGGAACTGTTTCTCATAATATTCGCGGACTCTGCTCTCTTTGGCTCTGCGCCGTGGGTTATTCTCGATGCGTTCCACTTTCTTCTCCCAGCTTCCATCAGCTGGTCATACCGTTGGCAGAACTTCTGCTCCTGAAGAAAGAGACAGGGAAAGCAGAAGCAGAGAAGTCATAAAAGGGGGGTTCCCACACCCCAAATCCATTTTGAACCTGGTTATCTAGGGGTTTTCAGGTCCAATTTACTTTTTCCTTTAATTTTCAGGTCCTTTAGCTTAGTTTACGTTATTGTCATTACACCCTCGTACAACAAAATTAGGTGCCATCCTCAGTGTACATTATACATAAAAAAATAAAACAAAAACACACATCCTTCACATTCTGTACAATTGAATTAAAAACCCCTGATATTGCATTAATATTGCACTACAGTAGAATTCGGTATAGTTACTGCTCTGGGATAGAAGCTGTTTTTCAGCCTATTTGTCCTTGTTTTTATTGTCCGTACCGTCTGCCAAATGATAATAGTTCAAAAAAAAAAAAAAGGGGGGGGTGCCCAGGATGAGATGGATCTTTAAGAATTTTGAACATTCTTAAGACAGGGCGGGGGGGGCTATAAAGCTCTTCCAAAGAGGGGAGGGCAACCGATGATCCTCTGGGCAATGATGTTAACCCTCTGCCACTGCTACTGTGCAACTGGCAAAAACTGTGCAGTAAATTAAAATACTCTCTATGATGCGACGGTAGAAGGTCACCGGCAGTTTTCCATTCAGTTGTTGTTTCCTGAGAAGTCTCAGGTCATATAAGCTCTGCTGGGCCCTTTTGACCAGTGTTGCAATGTGAGCCCCCCCAGGTCAGGTCCTCTTTTAGGATAACACCCAGAAACTTAAAACTGGCCACTTGCTCCACCCGGTTTCCATTGATAACCAAGGGCTGAAACACCTGGCGGAGAACCACAAACGTTTGAATCCATTCAACCTGCATCCTCACCCTTTGATCTCGGTGGGGGAGGGGGTGAGCGTATTGTCCGAACGCAGCTACTGCAGACTGGCAACCACTGTGGGCGGTTTGGCATGAACCTGGCCCCATTATGATTTCATCAATAAATCATGGTTTTTAGGGATGGATTGAGTTCCACGAGAATCAAGAATTCTGCATAAACCGGCTGAGAGACACTTCTCACTTCCTTTTTGCAAGAAGCAAGATTTCCCTTGGCGTGCAACCAAGACTGGAAAACCGATAGCCAATGAAACGATCAGGTTTTCCACTCTTAAAAAAAACAAGGCCATTGAAATTCACACAAGACAAAAAAGGCGCCCACGCCAAGGAAAGCAAAAGCAAGGAAGATCAATTTATGGAGCGGTGCCATTTGCTTTAACCATTCTTCGGTTCATGTCCTCAGTTAAATAAATAAAGACCTGCAACCTGAAGGGGACAGGAAGGGAGGCTTTTCTAGAAATGCGTCTCCAAAACTCAAGATGTGTCTACTTGGAAATGGAAGCCCGAAGGATTAAAAACATTAAACGCAGCGCGGTTGACTTAAAAGAGACAACCCTACCCTGATGAAAGAGGCTTTAGGAGACCAAAAGAGAAGGGTTTGAGAAAATGTAAGACGTCATCTAAGGAAGGACATTTACAGGATAGAGAATGACAGAGTTGGAAGGGACCTTGGAGGTCTTCTAGTCCAACCCCCTGCTCAAGCAGAGACCTTATACCAGTGATGGCTAACCTTTTTGCCGTCGCATGCCAAAAGCGAGGGTCTCATGGGGGGGTCACGTGCTTGCATGTCTACACCCATAGTTCATTGTGCCCCACCCCACCACACATGCGACCCCCCCCCCACTGCACTCCCCCTGCTTTTGGCATGTGATGGCACAGTGGGCCCGTTTCTCACCCTCCCCAGGTTCCAAAGGCTTTCTAGGAGCCTGGGGAGGGCAAAAACGGCCTTCCCCAACTCCCCGGAGGCCGGAAATGGCCTGTTTCCTGACTTCCGGTGGGCCCAGAAGGCCCGAAAAACAGTTGGCCAGCGCGCGCATGCATGCTGGAAATCAGCTAGGGCAATCCTCACGTGCCCACTGATATGGCTCCGCGTGCCACAGGTGGCACACGTGCCGTAGGTTTGTCATCACGGCCTTATACTATTCTGGACAAATGGTTGTCCAATCTCTTCTTAAAAAATCTCCAGCACCCACAAACTTCTGGAGGCAAGCTGTTCCACTGATTAAAGGTTCTCATTGTCAGGAAAATTTTCCTCAATTCTAGGATGGATGTCTCCTTGATTAGTTTCCATCCAATGCTTCTTGTCCAGAATAGAATACAGAATACAGAATAAAAGAGTTGGAAGGACATGACAGCAGTCTTCCAATATTTGAGGGGCTGCCACAGAGAGGAGGAAGGGGGTCAAGCTATTTTCCAAAGCACCCGAAGGCCAGACAAGGAATAATGGATGGAAGCTGAACAAGGAGAGATTCAACCTGGAAATAAGGAGGAATTTTCTGACAGTGAGAACAATCAACCCATGGAACAGAAGTTCCCTTCGGAAGTTGTGGGAGCTTCATCCCTGGAGGCTTTCAAGAAAAGACTGGACTGCCATCGGTCAGAAATGGTGTAGGGTCTGCTTGGGTGGGGGGTTGGACTAGATGACCTACAATGTCCCTTCCAACTCTTGTTAATCTGTAAATGACCTTGGAGGTCTTTTAACCCAACCCCCTGCTAAACTAGAAGACCCAATCCCATTTCAGACCCAATGGTTGTCCAATCTTTTCTTAAAAACTTCCAGTGTTGGAGCATTCACAACTTCTGGAGGCAAGTCGTTCCACTGATTAATTGTCCTGACTGTCAGGAAATTCCTCCTTAATTCTAGGTTGGCTCTTACTCCTTGATAAGTTTCTATCCGTTACTCGTTGTCCTGCATCTCTGCCTCTGAACAGTTGCTGGCTTGCAGCCTGCCTACAATCCGATAAAAATACCGAACTCCGTTTCGGGGTTTCACAAAAGGAAATCAAAAATTTCTCACCCACTGTTTACGAGCATGATTTCTCCTCTTGAAGTATAAAATCAGCTTCTTCCGCATTGCCTGGTTTCTGCAAAAGAGACGAAAACTACAGGTGGGACCAAGGGAGACCCACTTTTCCTCCACACCCCGAATTGCTAGCGGCAATGAAATGACAGCAGCAGCTGCAATGCACTCTCATGCCATCAAGTCTGGGCCTTTCATTTTGCTTTTATTTTTATTTATATTTCTCCGTTTTATTATTTTAACCTCAAGGCTGTGAGCATACCTACTCCTTTCTCCTCCTATTTTCCTGCAAGGTGGATTGGGCTGAGAGGGAGGGATTTGCCCAGAGTTTCCCAGCTGTCTTTCATGCCTAAGGCAGGACTAGAACTCACTGTCTCCTGGTGATTGGTCCAAAGTAATCCAACCAGCTTTAAGGTGGGACTAGAACTCACTGTCTCCTGGTGATTGGTCCAAAGTAACCCAACCAGCTTTAAGGTGGGACTAGAATTCACTCTCTCCTGGTGATTGGCCCAAAGTAACCCAGCCAGCTTTAAGTGGGACTAGAATTCACTCTCTCCTGGTGATTGGCCCAAAATAATCCAACCAGCTTTAAGTGGGACTAGAATTCACTCTCTCCTGGTGATTGGCCCAAAATAATCCAACCAGCTTTAAAGTGGGACTAGAATTCACTCTCTCCTGGTGATTGGCCCAAAATAATCCAACCAGCTTTAAAGTGGGACTAGAACTCACTGTCTCCTGGTGATTGGCCCAAAATAATCCAACCAGCTTTAAAGCAGGACTAGAATTCACTGTCTCCTGGTGATTGGCCCAAAATAATCCAACCAGCTTTAAGGTGGGACTAGAATTCACTCTCTCCTGGTGATTGGCCCAAAATAATCCAACCAGCTTTAAAGTGGGACTAGAATTCACTGTCTCCTGGTGATTGGCCCAAAATAATCCAACCAGCTTTAAAGTGGGACTAGAACTCACTGTCGCCTGGTGATTGGCCCAAAATAATCCAACCAGCTTTAAGGTAGGACTAGAATTCACTCTCTCCTGGTGATTGGTCCAAAATAATCCAACCAGCTTTAAGGTGGGACTAGAACTCACTGTCTCCTGGTGATTGGCCCAAAATAATCCAACCAGCTTTAAGGTAGGACTAGAACTCACTGTCTCCTGGTGATTGGCCCAAAATAATCCAACCAGCTTTAAGGTGGGACTAGAATTCACTGTCTCCTGGTGATTGGCCCAAAATAATCCAACCAGCTTTAAGTGGGACTAGAATTCACTCTCTCCTGGTGATTGGCCCAAAGTAACCCAGCCAGCTTTAAAGTGGGACTAGAATTCACTCTCTCCTGGTGATTGGCCCAAAGTAACCCAGCCAGCTTTCATGCCTAAGGCAGGACTAGAATTCACCTGGGTTTCGGGGAAGTCGCCGATAAACTCTGATTTGGCTCACGATACCCTGGGCTGTATTCACCCAACCAGTTTAGCTCGGCCACTTCCAATCTTGCAATTTCATTCCCACAATGCCCGCAAAGCTTCTTTTGTTGTCGTTTTCATAGATAACGTTGTTTATGGTCCAATGTAAAGCCTGAACATGGCCAATTTGGGAACTAAGCCAAATGGGATGCCTGCAAACACAATTTTTACTATCGTTTTCCCTTGGCAGGAAAGGCAACATCTGTTTGCGATAGGGAAAAAAAAAACTCCAACCAGCTACTTAGGCACCCTGGATTGAAAACATCTGCATTTGTAAAAACAGGAACATCCCATTTGCTTTTTTTGAAAGAAAATAAATAAGATAAACCAGCTTCTTGAATCGAAAGGCAGACGCTAATCAGTTCTCAAAAGAAAACCGAGAAACTAAAATCCTCTTTGGCTGGGAAAAAAAAAAGGATTCAGCTGTAAAAAACCAAATTTAATTTCTAAGGCAGCATTCGGCAGGTGGCAGCTACCTTCTTTTCAGCACAAAATAGCCCTTAATAAGAAACACCAGCAGCCAACTTTACAAATAAAGCTAAAAAGCAGACCGGAAAAAAACCTCTCTCTTTGTGTTCTGAGATGCAGAACAGTAACGGAATAAAGCTCGTATTGAAATTTAAGAGCCCAAATTGCTTTCAAAACCTCCTTTGCAGTGGTTAATTTTTAAAAAAAGAAAACCCTCCAATCGGCTCAGAATTAAATCCGATTTTTGCAGATGAATCCCATTCCTATGGAAGCCAACTTCCCTTTTTCTAGATTTTATGATGGGACCAAAACACCACCACCTAAGGCTTAAACCCCTGGAAGGGGGATATTTGGGGCCTTTTCAAACTCACGACAGTGCAGGATAAGTTTTAAATTCAGGAATCAGGATTCGTGGATCCATTTTTCTGGGGATGGAGGCAACTGGGAAAAACAAAACGTCTCTGAAGACAAAGAAAGGAAAAGCTGGGTGTGTTTAAGAGCAGCAGAAAGCATCTGGAACAGTGTTTCCTAACCTTGGCAATTTTAAGATATGTGGACTTCAGCTCCCAGGATTCCCTAGCCAGGAGAATTCTGGGAGTTGAAGTCCACCTGTCTTAAAGCAAGCTGGCTGGGGAATTCTGGGAATTGAAGTCCACATATCTTAAAGCAAGCTGGCTGGGGAATTCTGGGAGTTGAAGTCCACATATCTTAAAGCAAGCTGGCTGGGGAATTCTGGGAGTTGAAGTCCACCTGTCTTAAAGCAAGCTGGCTGGGGAATTCTGGGAGTTGAAGTCCACCTGTCTTAAAGCAAGCTGGCTGGGGAATTCTGGGAGTTGAAGTCCACATATCTTAAAGCAAGCTGGCTGGGGAATTCTGGGAGTTGAAGTCCACTGTCTTAAAGCAAGCTGGCTGGGGAATTCTGGGAGTTGAAGTCCACCTGTCTTAAAGCAAGCTGGCTGGGGAATTCTGGGAGTTGAAGTCCACCTGTCTTAAAGCAAGCTGGCTGGGGAATTCTGGGAGTTGAAGTCCACATATCTTAAAGCAAGCTGGCTGGGGAATTCTGGGAGTTGAAGTCCACCTGTCTTAAAGCATGCTGGCTGGGGAATTCTGGGAGTTGAAGTCCACCTGTCTTAAAGCAAGCTGGCTGGGGAATTCTGGGAGTTGAAGTCCACATTCTTAAAGCAAGCTGGCTGGGGAATTCTGGGAGTTGAAGTCCACCTGTCTTAAAGCATGCTGGCTGGGGAATTCTGGGAGTTGAAGTCCACCTGTCTTAAAGCAAGCTGGCTGGGGAATTCTGGGAGTTGAAGTCCACCTGTCTTAAAGTTAATAAGGCTGAGAACCCCTGGTCATCAAACAGCCTTTAGAATTTGGGGGGAAAAATAAGGCAGCTGAATCTGACATTTTAAACTTTTGTGAAATCTTCCGACGAACTGCTCTGCATTTGGAAAGTCAGCAAAAAAATTCAGGGAGCAGTGCAGTGTCTGTCTTGCCTCCCCTCCCAAAAAAATCTTCTGGATGCTCTTTCATCTCGCCATCTTTTCCAAACCCTGAAGCTCCCTCTGCAAACCTCCTGGGAACAGCCCGTGAGAACCTCAAACGTGCAACAGAGTGCGGGGCTGTTTGTCCGTGCAAATGTGCAGCTCGTCTGAGACATAAGAAGCTGTTTGTGGAGAGGTTAAGCCGGGCCAGCTCCTGCAGGCATCACGTGCCTCGTTCCCAGGGGCAGAGCTGAAGCAAACACAGGTTTGGCTGTTGCAGCTGAGAAGCTAGAGAGAAAACACACACGCTTGGAGGAAGGAGGAGGCACGCCGTGTTTGCAAGCAGCCCTCGGGGAAAATCAGGCAGAGAACGGGCCTGGCTTCCTGGCAGCAAACACCTCTAGCAGGGGATGCCAGGCCAAGAGAAGGAAAAATTAGAAGCTTTAAAGCCACAAGGTAGGGGGTTACAAAACTCAAGTTCCTGTCCACGGAGGAATACATGCCTTGTACCCCGGCTTAAACACACAAAAAAGGACACTCAGAGAGATAGATTAAATTACATTAGCGAGACAGGCAGACAGACACAGACAGACAGAATATATAGAGAGTATAGAAAGATGGATGGATGGATGGATATAAATATGTAGGTATAGAGATATAGATAGCTGGGTAGAAATAGATAAAGGGATGGATGGATGGATGGATGGATGGATGGATGGATGGATGGATGGATAGATAAGATAGATAGATAGATAGATAGATAGATAGATAGATAGATAGATGATAGATAGATAGATAGATAGATAGATAGATAGATAGATAGATAGGCAGGCAGGCAGGCAGGCAGGCAGGCAGGCAGGCAGATAGGCAGATATAGACAGAGAGAGAGAGAGAGAGAGAGAGAAATAGAAAGAGAGAGAAAGAGAGAGAGAGAGAGAGATAAATGGATAAACAGGCAGAAGTAGTGAGAGAGAAATAAAGGGATAAATGAATGTATATAGCTAGGAAAGTAGATATAGATAAATGGATATATGGATAGAAATAGAGAGATAAATGGATAGATGTATGGATAGTTATAGAGATAGCTATAGCTACCGGTAAATGGATAGACAGACAGACGGATGGGTGGATAGTTATAGACAGACAGATAAAGGGGGAGCTGTCAAAAAAAAAAATTCCAATTTTTGACACGCTGAGCCACGGTGGCTTTAATCTCCTCCCTGGCTGGAGCTTTGAAAGCTAGAGGTCATGAAGGACCAAGATGGGAGATATTTTGCTTCTGGCTACTTACATTTTTATGTTTTCATGGTATTGCCTCGTGTCCGAAGGCTGGTTGTACAGGGGCTGAAAGAGACAAGACCATTTGAAACGTGAAAAGAGGGCAAGGGAAGAGCACGGGAGCATGCTGGAATTCAGAAGTTGATGGCTTGGAAGTCTCCAGGTTTAGAGAACCAGGAGTGACATCCTTGAGCCTCCAAATTTGGTCAACTATCCAAATAACTTCATTGCCTTGATGGCACCCTTCTGCCTTTTTTCATTCTTGCTTTTTCTCTCTCTGGATTCCCTTTGTCTTCCACTCTTAGGTCCTCCTTGACCAAAACAGGGTTGAGCTAAGAAATTTCTTTCAAAAGGAAGAACTGCTCCGAAATAAAAGATGGGTCACCCAACACCTCTACAAACCATAGCAGAACATGATTAATTTGGAAGGACAAATGAAAGCTGTACACCTAGGAAGGCGCACCGACCAGCAGCAGCCTCCGGAAGCTCCCCAAAAGATCCCAGGATCAACTAAGGCTGAAAATGGAATCCATTATTGAAAATAAACGTAACCTTACAATCTCATTCTATTATTCCACCATTTGTACTACCTTTCCCATACTGCACTGAATTTTGAGTTCACATCATTATTAAGATCACTTGTTAATTTTGCCATTTCTGCGCATTCTAAGATTTTGTTTATTAGTATTATCTCTGGAGGAATTAATTTGTCCTTCCAGTATTTTGCAAAAATTAACCTGGCCTCTGTTATAACATGTATTATAAGATGTATCTTATCTTTAGAAAGTCCATCTCCGATCATTCCTAATAAAAAGATTTCAGGGGATAATTCTATTTCTTCTTCCACTATTTCTCGTAACCAGTTTCATATTTTTGTCCAAAACTTTTTTGTCTCAGGGCAGGACCACCACATATGATAGAAGGTGCCAACCTCCTTTCCACACTTCCAACATGTTGCTGAAGCACTGGGGAATATTTTTGCTAATCTAGCTGGCGCTAGATACCATCTATGGAAAATTTTGTAATGGTTTTCCCTATAGGTTGCTGATTTAGTCAGATTGTATTTTCTGTTCCAGGCCTCCTCCCAGTCATTGAAATTTAACCTATAACCAATATTTTTTTCCCAAATGTTTAGTTGGTTTCTGGCTATTCCTTCTGCCCTGTCCTCGCCTAGTAGCAAGTTGTACTTTCGCTAACATTTTCTTTTCAATCCCCAACATAATTTTGTCCAAATTGTTGTGCTTCGCCTCTATACCAAATTGGTCCCTATCTTTTTGATATCTTGAGCTTATCTGTAAGTAGCTCCACCAGTCTAAATTAAAGCCTTGATTTCTTCCCGAGATTTAAGGACTCCGTTATCATCCATTATGTCTTTATACGTGCCAAATTTTAAAATATCTCTTTTATTTGAGGCGGTCAGGGCCTCCATAATTGAAAGCCAATTTGGTACCTTCACATAAAATCTTTGCCTAATTTCTTCCCATGTTTGAATAAGGGTCTCCCTTAATTTGTGTTTATGAAAATATGATTTTTTTTTTTGTTCTTTGAATCCCATAAATAGGTGTGCCAGCCTGCCTGTAGATCGTGGCCTTCTAACGTCAAGATTCTCTTGTTTTGTAATGTGACCCATTCTTTGATCCATACTAGTTTCAATAATGGTAGATTCGAATGTAATCGATATGTATATAATGTAAATATGTAATTACACGACACCTCAGATGTTAACAGAGATTTGATGTTTTTTAAAATTTTAAAATCAATAAAGTATATTTATAAAAAAAAAGAAAAAGAAAAGAAAATGGAATCCAGCAGGGATAAAATGCTCTGAAGTCTGCTACCGGTTCGCTTCGCTACCGGTTCGTTTTGTGCACGTATGCACGGTGCACACCAAATGTGCGTTTCACACGCATGCGCACCGCAGGCGCTAACATGCAGCGCTGAAAAAGAAGGATTAAGAAGCCTTTTCTGAGTCTGCAAAGGTAAGTAGAACAGCGAGGGGGGGGACAGCTGTCCTGCGCAATTTAGATTAATATAAATTGCGCGGCACAGCTGATCATTGGAAATACAGATTCACCCAAATCTGTAGCATTTTTCACTACCGGTTCAGGTGAACTGGTCCGAACCGTTAGCATTTCACCCCTGGAATCCAGACACTAAGGTGTGAGAACCAATTTTCTATCTTGGAAGAAATGAAACTAAGATCAAAGGGCGAGAACACACCTTTCCTATATTCCGTTATCACAAGATCAATAAAACTGTTGAGTTGGAAAGGACCATTTAACTCATCTCCTCCATCCTTCAGCAATCTTCAGGAAAATCCATTAAACCATCTTCCAGAGGTGGTTGTCCAAGCTGTTTTGAAAAGCCTCCAGAGATAAGCCACAACCTCAATACCGTGTTTTCCCCAAAAATAAGGCCCAACTGGGAAATAAGCCCTAGCATGATTTTTTTTCCAAGGATGCTTGTAATATAAGCCCCACCCCAAAAAATAAGGCCCAATTAAGATTGTCAGCCAGCCAGATGGACACATTTAGTACTGTATTTCCCCGAAAATAAGACCTAACCAGAAAATAAGCCCTAATGCGTCTTTTGGAGCAAAAAATTAATAAAAGACTCGGTCTTATTTCCGGAGAAATACGGTAAGTAGACCTTTCCAGTGCTAGATCCAGCAGAGCCCTGGTAGTGCAGCAGACTAAAGCACTGTTATTAACATCAGCTGCCTGTAATTACTGCAAATTCAAATCTCACCAGGCTCAAGGTTGACTCAGCCTTCCATTCTTTCTAAGGTAGGTAAAATGAGGACCCAGATTGTGGGGGCAATAAGCTGACTTTGTATAAATATACAAAAGTATGAAGGCTATTGCTTAATGCATTATAAGCCGCCCTGAGTCTCTGGAGAAGGGCGGCATATAAATCAAATTAAAAAAAAAAATACAAATGTACTTTTCAAGTAGACAGCTATTTGAAGTTACAACTGCCAAAACATTTTAGGAAGATATTTATGCGAGCAAGATTCGAACAGCTTGACCCAATGGTCAGATATGAGAGATTCCATTCTATACCCTACAATGAGAGTCTCTGCATTTGCGGAGCGGCAGAGGTAGAAGATCTGGCTCACATCCTATTTGACCGTTGCTTGTATAAGGGGTTGAGAGAGAGGTATCTTGGTTCATATACCAAACGAAGGACCCATTGGGATCCCCATATCAAAACAACTTACTTTATGTGCGACCAGAACCTGAAAATAACATTTTAACATAGCACAGCACTTAAGCAAAATGGTTCGGTTGAGATCTGCATACGTGGGACTGATTGGGGTAGATTGTAAGGGTGACACCAAAATATAATTTTAGGTCATTTTATTCTATTTTATATATTTATGTATCAAATTATATTGTATCTTATCCTATAACTATTATTTTTTACCCTACTTTTATTTTAAATTAAATTTTTATAGAAATAGAATAACAGAGTTGGAAGGGACCTTGGAGGTCTTCTAGTCCAACCCCCTGCTTAGGCAGGAAACCCTACACCACTTCAGACAAATGGTTATCCAACATCTTCTTAAAAATTTCCAGTGTTGGAGCATTCACAACTTCTGGAGGCAAGTTGTTCCACTGATTAATTGTTCTCACTGTCAGGAAATTTCTCCTTATTCTAGGTTGCTTCTCTCCTTGACTAGTTTCCACCCGTTGCTTCTTGTCCTGCCCTCAGGTGCTTTGGAGAACAGCTCGACTCCCTCTTCTTTGGGGCAGCCCCTGAGATATTGGAACACTGCTATCATGTCCCCCCTAGTCCTTCTTTTCATTAAACTAGACATACCCAGTTTCTATAACTGTTCTTCATATGTTTTAGCCTCCAGTCCTCTAATCATCTTCATTGCTCTTCTCTGCACTCTTTCTAGAGTCTCCGCATCTTTTTTACATCGTGGCGACCAAAACTGAATGCAATATTCCAAGTGTGACCTTACCAAGGCATTACAAAGTGGTATTAACACTTCACGTGATAAATTGTTTGTATAAGATTTTATTGGTGATTATGTGTTTGCACCTTGTGCTTGGATATGGCCTATAGGCTAATCAATAAAGCTAACTGAAACTGGAGCAAAAATTAATATAAGACCCGGTCTTATTTCCGGGGAAATATGGTAAGTAGATCTTCCCAGTGCTAAATCCAGGCAGTTTCTCCCCATCTTTAAATGAAATTTAGGAAGCCACTACTTACACCTACTCTTTCTGATCTGTTTCGGTGGCTATAGAAAATAATTTCTACTCATTTTTTCCCTCTAGCCTCTCGTCAGGGACCGGAAAAAGGCTCTCATGTTTCCTACAAGCCTGCTTTTCTTCAGAACTGAACATCCCAAGTTCCTCTCCAGCCAACTTGGCTTTTTCTCCTTTGACCGTAAGACGAATTTCTACAGCTTCCTTCGCCATTATTAACATTTAGACCAATTAATCATTCATTACAGTTATGACTCTTTGGGTTCTTTCCAGATGAGTCAGCCAGCCAAGGCACTCAAGAGCTGAGCCTTAACTCATGAGCTGGGAAGCTTCACGAGGGCTCCAATTCTACAGGGTCGGTCCTCGTCTTCTCCCCCCGTCTGCTGTTCAAGTAAGGACATGCCAGAGATGGGGAAGTCACTCCCCACAAGTGCGAGGTGGAAAGGAGAGAAGGGATGGCTAAGAAGGAAGAGACACAGATGACTTCAACCAGACTGCAACTCTTAGGTCAACCATTCCTGACTGAGTCATTCAATCTCCAGCCTTTTCCTGTAGAAGGTCAGCAAGATAGGAAGGAGGATTTGAATGCTATCTTTTTCTTATGGTTTTTTTTTTTAATCTAAAAGAAAATTTTAGGGGAAAAAAGGAAGAGAGAAATAAAGGATGAGTGCCAAAGAATCGAGGCTTTTGAACTTTGTGCTGGAGAAGACTCCTGCGAGTCCCTTGGACTGCAAGGTGATCCAACCGGTCAGTCCTAGAGGAGATCAAACCTGACTGCTCTTTAGAAGGCCAGATCCTGAAGAGGAAACTCAAATACTTTGGCCACCTAATGAGAAGGAAGGACTCCCTGGAGAAGAGCCTCATGCTGGGAACGATGGAGGGCAAAAGAAGAATGGGACGACAGAGAACGAGGTGTCTGGATGGAGTCACCAAAGCA